GATTCGGAGTATTTAGTTTTTAGCCCAAAATACTCCCATCCCTGTCCCTGCTTTGGTTTTGGAAGTATCAGTATACCCAGTGGTGGATACAGAGGGGGGTTCATGGGGCCCCGGCCCCCCCTAAAATGTACGAATTTGGTTAAAAATTAGGCGTTTGGGTTTAAAATGGCTCCCTAAATAGCATATTCTACATTACTTCTTATTTGGGTCCCCCTAAAATAAATTCCTGTATCCGCCCCTGAGTATACCACGTTATGGTATAGTCTTTTACATGCCGAAAAAATTTGCCGAGATTTTTCTTAATGTTGTACATTCTTGGTATGCCATCCACTGGAAGGAGTGAAATCTTCTTTTTGAGCATGTTCCCTTCATTCTGCATTCTACATAGAACTAATTATAAAGTAAAGGAAATAACATATACTCAATAAAGACCAACAATTCCAAAAAATCGTATCATTTCTTCAAAAATGGCATGTCATGACGTCGACTCCTTCTCTAATGTGTAAATACCGTATGATCGAAACAAAAAAACGGCGTCCATTTGGCTTGGAAATGAACATCGATTCCATTTCCTATATAATTTTCCATATAAAATGACAGCGATCTTCATATCTTGGCCATCGCTGACGCCGTTTTTTTTTCACTCATATTTTATAACATAATGCATAAATAACACAATTAGTATGTATTAGACTCCTTTAGTAGTTAGTCTTTATTTTTAATAACGTTGATTCAGAAATCAGAAATTAATATATAAAGTTAATAAAAATATTTATTAAAAAATGGGATCTATGTGCATATTATATAGAAAAAAAATTATGAGATAACAAAGATTAAAAAATGAATATTTATCTAGAACAGATGCTTACATGTAATTATTGTTTTTCGCGGCAATGAATTAATTTAATCGTTATGAAGCTGTAATTATAGGTACTTGATAATGTTCCCAGGTTTAATAAAAGTAGATTATTGTAAATCCATTTTTTTGTGTATGTCAAATACGATTATTTTTATTTTATTGCATTGGTTGGAGTACCACTTAGAAACGGAATTTAAAAACCACAATAAATGGATTATATAGGAAATACCGTACGATTCTAAGTAAATAAAATTAAGCAGGCCATGAAATAAGAACTTTAGTTTGGTAGCTCGTTCAGGAATCACTGTGAGAGTGACTTTTATTTAGCAGAAATTATTTTCCTTTTAATACTTATACAGGATGTCCCAATATTCCGTGGACATAGAACTACTGGGTATTTTTGGAATTAAAGTACGTTCATTGGGCAGAATTTAACTCTATACAAAAGTGCTTCGTTTGTCCGCTGGAGGGCATCAAAATTAAAAAAAATAATCACATTTTTCAGATATTTTAAGAACCGTTATTCCGATTTAAATTATATTTGGGGTGTCTATGTTTTGATAAGTGCTTTAATATTTGAATTTCACAAAAATCAAGAAAAAGTACGGGAAAAGTGAGAACTACCCCCACCCCTACATAAATTTTAGTATAAATATTTTCCCACTTCACCGACGCCAGATTTTCTTTTCATGAAATAATCCCACTGGTATTTACTACATTTTTTGTCTCTTGTAAAAAAACGCAACATTTTTTTGTTTTCAACGCATAGTTTTTAAGAAAAAAATTTTTGGAGAACTCATTTTTCCAAATCAGACCTACAAAATATACAGAGAGTTCCAATATCCTGTGGACGTAGAACAACTACGTATTTTTTGAATTAAAATAAGTCAAAACCATTTTTGGGAGTCACTTTCGAAAAAATAATTTTTTTTCTCAAAAGCTATGGGCGGTGGTGTTTTTATACAAGAGACAAAAAATATAGTAAATATTAGAAGGACCATTTTAGGAAAAAAAAATCGGTCGTCAGTTGAATTGGAAAATATTTACACTAAAATTTATGTAGGGGTGGGGTAGTTTTTGCCCTTCCCGTTCTTTTTCTTGATTTCTGTGAAAGTCAAATGTTAAAGTAGTTAGGAAAACATAGACGCCCAAAATCTTATTCACATGGGAATAGCGGTTCTTAAAATATCTCAAAAAATGTGTCTATTTTTTTAAAGTAGCAACTTAGTAGGTAAGTACTTTTCTATAGAGGTGAATTGTGTCCAGTGAACTTATTTTGATTCCAAAAATACACACCCTGTATATTTAATTTTGAAGCAGTAAAACTAAAAGCACTTAAAGAATCTTATCCAAAGTCGTCTGTATTTTTCTATTTTGTGACGTTATGATACAAAATAATTCAATTTCATATTTTGCTTGTAACTTAATAATTTCCTTTTAAAGACGAAATGAACTTATAATTGAATATATCGGATATGGGTTTACTAGCATTTGTTTATCTGGTGGTTTATTATCAGAATAAGTCTATTCGTTTAAAAACAAAGATAGATAAAAACACAACTGGACTAAAGTCAACGACAAGATAAATGCTTTTCCTGTCTGATAAAATTATCTTCATTATACATAAAATACAATTAAACATCTCCTCTTATTAAAACAGTTTAATGAGGGGAGTAATAAAATATAATTTGAGATTCATTTTCTTCCTGAAATGTCCTGGAACCACTATATTTTTTTATAAAAACAGGCAGTTGTTATTTAAAATACGTAGTAATTAATTTTGAACTGGTTAAATAGCTAGTTTATAACAATGACGATCTTAAAACGAAGAATACTAATTCCAGATGTTCTAATTCCAGAGATAATATTCGCATCATCTGGGATTTTTTTTATTAATTAATTTACTTTGCTAAACTTGACTTTTTTGTTAGTTATTGCTTAGTATAGACTAAAAATGATAAAATAATTTTTTTTATTATATTTCAAATTTGACATTTATACTAATAAATTAATTTAATAATTATTTGTATTTGGAAAACTTTCTTTGAAAAAGTTGTTTTACTTTTAATTTTATACACAATTTCACAAGTATATCAATTTTCAGCCACCTAGATAAAATATTTTTTGTCTTATTTTAACCAATAGCAGCTGTTTCTCGACGTGAACAGTAGCAAATATAAGATGGTAGACCGTTTGTCAATCAAATATTTATCTAACGGTCATATTGTTTAGTTAAATTTATAGAATCAACGTATAATTTAATTTAGAAATAAGAAAAATTTAATTTAGTTATAAGAAAATACTTAAATAATGCAAAGTATGAGCAACTTTCTTATTTATCGTGAAATTCAAATTTAGATTACATGTTGGAAATTAAATTACACAATACTAAATGTCAATAGTCAACATATACTTTTCATACCCTACTTATAAAATTGCCTCTTTAGACATTTATCTTATACAGTATATTATCAAACAAAAAAAATTATAAGTAATTCTTCAACTATTTAACTATCCTCAGAGAGGGTCTTATTTTCTCGGCAATACGTTAAAGATTACACTTTTTTCCATATATATGGTTAAAATTTGTACAGGGTGTCCCATTTTCGTGTGTTTTGCAGAGTTCTCATTTATGAGTAGAGATACAAAAATGCTATTTTCACATCACTGTGCTACTTTTTTTTATGAAACTCAAGATGCTACACACAGATTTATCCTAGCTCTCTTAGTTTCTGAAATACAGGGCGAAATTGATAATGTTGCACCCCCTTCGTATCTCGGTGATATTATAACTTATCGAAAAGTTGAAAACCGAGTCCCATGGAATTTTTCACATAGAATTCATTGGCGTAACTAGATTTTTGCTGCGAGCTGTTATTCTTGAAACATGACCAAAATTTATGTTTTTTAAATGGGATTAAAATAAATTAATTAATTAGTTTGCCCTGAGTTTGTTAAAAATATAACATATACTCTATATTTATTTTCATAAACAAAGTAAAAAATGCATTATTTTAGTGTTAACATAAGCGGTCGGTTTAAAATAGGTAATCAAAACAATCGAGTATTCGACGTCAAAGTTTGGTTATTGGCTATTCTACGCTAGTTACTATGTGTTGAATTATTACACAAGTGCATTAAAAATATCAATAACTGTGACAGCGTGTTATCCAAAACCTTTACAAGTTTATTTTCAGTTCAGTTTATTAAGACAACATGATGGAAAGCAAAATTAACTTGTTAAATTAAAATAAATAAAATTATAATACCCTTTTAAACTAGGTTTATTTATGTTAAAAAGTTAAAAAATGTATTTTTAGCTTGGTTATGAAAATAAGTATAGAATGTGTTATATTTCCAGAAAACTCATGCCAAAACAAATAAAAAAAAATATACAGGGTGTCCATTAATAAAAACATAAGTTTATTGAGTCATATTTTGGAAATGACAGTTCCCAGCACAAAACTAGTTACGCCACTAGTTTCTACGTAAAATACTCTGCAAGACTTAGTTTTCACCTTTTCGTTAATTTATAAGATAATCAAGATACGAAGAAAGTATTTGTCGAAAAATGGAAAATTCGCCCTGTATTTCAGAAATCAAGGGGTCTAGGACAAATCTGTGTGTATCATCTTTAGTTTCATAAAAAAGTAGCATAGTGATGTGAAAATCGCTTTTTTGTATCTCTACTCATATAAACGAGAACCCCCATCGAAAATGAGACAAACTGTTTCAAAAAATGATTTTAAAAGTTCGACCATAGAAACACCTTGTTTAGCAATTTTTTTTAAACGTCATATTTAGACCTGAGAGCAAACAATAAATTTTTCTTGTCATATCTAATTCAAGTGAAAGAAAAATAAACTAACGCCGAAGTCAATTTCAATAAATAAAATATCCCATATGATGTGGATTATTAAATATTACCCTTGTAAAAATACAGATAAAAGGCTATTACACAAAATCTGCCGATACTGTATAAACAATAAGCCTAAATAACTTTAAAACCGCTAAAATTAAAACGACCTTGCTGAGATGAATATGAATATGTCTGACTATGTAGACACAGTCTAGGATTCTAGATAATATAGTATATTCCTTGGGTACAGAAACTTTAAATAATACTTTTCTTTATTTGCAGTTCTGGGAAGTTATTTCTGAGGAGCACGGTATAGACCCCAGCGGCACTTATACTGGGGACAGCGAACTACAATTGGAAAGAATCAACGTCTACTACAACGAAGCTACAGGTACTTTGACTATTATAGTTTTTTTAACACTTTATGTTAAACCATTCGTTTAAAGCATACTCAGTACCAGCTAGTCATCTTTGCTTGTTTAAGTATCCGTGTGTTAATTCTCGTACATATGCCATCAATGTATCAATGTCAGAGCACCATTCTCGGTCGTTTCTTTAAGTCCGGTTGACACGGTACAAGTGTACTTTGATCAGGGGTCCAACTAGACATTCATTTTTAGGGGGCTCTCAAGTCTTTTGGCGGGCGGCGGCTTAGGTCACTATAAGATAATATTTGTTTCACGCTAAAACCAATTTTATACAACCCTCAACCCCCGCCCCCCCTTTGTTGCACCACTGACTTTGATCAATAAACTTGGATGCTGCTATATAAATATACTTATATGAATGTTGCACGCGTCTCACTGGTACGCTATTTGTATTGTATTAACTTTTAATTTTTAACTCTATGGTATTAACTTTTTTATCCAAGTCGAGTTGGAAAGCTTCGTAACATCCAAGTAGGCTGGCTAATAACTTACTGGTATAGGATATTGTAGAAGAATGTAGAATGAGTAAGAGGGGGGGGGGGTTAATCACTGCGCCCTTAAAGATCTATTGTGCCCCCCTTCCTTGAGTCATCACACAATCTATAACCCATCATACCTCTGTTGTAGAGGGGAGAGGGTATTTCCCATCCTCCTCTGACAACAGTTCTTCCTCCGAGGGTACACACCCTTCCACTGTTGGAGTTTGGCCCTCCGTGCCGCTCTTCACAGTCGAGGAGCTTGCCTCCGGCTGAGGAACACGTGAGGCGGAGGCTGGAGGATCTGGCTCCATTTTCTCCACCTCTTTAACTTGGTCTCTCCTTAGACCTGATACCGGTGTTGTCCCGTATCTATAATAGAGAACATGTCCCCCTTTATCTATTGCCTCCTTGGATTTGAGGTCAATTCCTATTGTGAGGACCTGACCATGACCCTCCTCCTTCGGGTTGATGATTTGCCAACTCGATGTCCTTACATTGAAGTTCTGACCTTGGATAAGGTTCAGCAGGTGGTGTCTTTCCCCTTGCCCCTCGGCAGAAAGACCGTTATGGCCGCCCCTTTAGAGATGTTTTCTCCCTTCACTGCAACCAGTTCCGGCCCTTGCCAATTTTTAAGCTTAGGTGCGATTTCCACCAACCAATTCGCCGATTCTTGAGATACACAAAATCTATGAGGATCATGCCCAGCCGAAAGTGTATCCCCGCAAAACGCAGCTAACCTACACTTTGTAGACCATTGTATTGCGATCCGATCGTCCCTACTTCGTCCAGTATAGCCTCTTCTAGAGACTTTTGCTGGTCGGTGGTCAGAGCAACCTCTGGGAAATCCTTTGGCAGCACCGCCATTTTCACTTGTCCAGCAATAGCGGCAAAGCTGGTGATACGTGCCTGCTTGCCTCCCGGTGTTGGACGGCTTTCCATCCTAGCTTTTTTCTCTCCCTGCCGGAGAAGAGCTGACAGGTTCTCGCTCCCTCTCTTGCCCTTTGATGGAGACGAGTCAGGTTGTTTAGCTCTGGGTTTCTTTACTCTCCCCTTTTCGGAGGAGTGTTTTCGCTTTTGCTTATTCTGGAGCAAGTCCTTCATGGATCAGTCGGAGGTATCTCCGTGCTTCTGCTCCGCTAAGACCTACTCCCAGAGGATCGTCCAGCCCGCCTGGTTGACCCAGGCCGAGCGGACGAAACGGTAGCTTATATCGCTTATTGGGTCTAGAGGTAGGCTCCCGACCCTTGCTGGAGAAGGTGGTAGCTTGTGTGCCACTTGTGGAGGATAATCCCAAGCAAGTGTCAGCCGTTCCTCCTAGACTTTCCTTTGGATTTGGTCCCTTGGAATTTTCATTTGTAATGTTCCCAGTGTCGCTAGGGGACTTCCTCACACCTTCACCGGTGGTGTTTTTAATACTAGATCTCATAGTGTTTCCACGAGTCGCTAGGGATAGTCGGTCCACTTCTACAGAGCCCTGCATGCAGAAGTAATGGGTAAATACAATGGGGTGCCCCCTGATGCCCCAAGGTTGAGGCCAGTAATGGCTAGTCCTCTATCTAGCCACGCATCCCTTTGACCTGGTTCGGCCATCGTAGGATTTAGGTTTTTGGTGAGGTTATCTCCTCTTGGTCCAGGCGGTTAAGCCAAGATCCCTCCACACCCTCTACCAGCGATACATGACCACAGTCAGTAGAGGGTGCCTGGTATGAGGGACAGGGGTAGCCCCGTCCGGCATCGTTATATTATTTCTTGGTGCAATCCCCTGGCCACGACACTACAGCCAGGTATACTGGATGTTATAAAGCCTCTCAACTCGACTTGGCAATACAAGCAGCATACAAGTGAGACGTGCGCAACATCCATATAAGTATATTTTTATATAGCAGCATCCAAGTGTATCTGATCAAAGAACCTTGTACCGTGGCTGGCTGTCAACTTACTGGGATGTTGGATGTTACAAAGCCTTCCAACTCGACTTTGATAAAACAGTTAATAACGATACAAGCAGCGTACAAGTAGAGAGTTATAAACCCGCCTTTAAACGAAATTTCAATGGAGCTCACGTTCACACCCCGACTTATTAGATAGTAAGCAAATTTCCATGCAAATTGTCGTATGTTGGCAAGTTAGTTTTGAATAGGCTGTGATATAAGCATTATTTTGTCAATTAGAATAAAAGATTCATGACCCCTATTGCACGATAAACAAATTTAATGGTGTGCTGCTACAAATTAAACCCAATAATAGAGAAAGACGTTGTCGACAAAAAGTCGGGTTCTCTGGCATCTTTCTAAGTTAATTGTTACTAAAAAGGTCTATAAAATTATTTCGAATTTAAATGGTAAATGATTCATTCCCGCGAGTCATGGTGTTTCCGGCTGATTTTAATTTGGAAACAAGGCGCAATGTTCTTTCTACGTCTATCAACACGTTTTGACTGAGAATGATTGTAGAATGTGTTGTTTGCAAATTAATATACCGGGTGGTGCATCGTCGTTGGAAACATAGGAAACCGAATGCAAATTTTGAATTGTCCAGATATTGTCTCCCCTGTTAATTTTACAGCAAAGTTGTAAATAGGTTTTTAAAGGTCTGCGTATGCTGAATACACCTGCTAATTGATGCAATATGTTTGAATATGAACAATTTTGGAAAAGTCGATTTTAAGTAATTTAAGAAAAACTGCATCTATTTTAAAATTAAAACTGAACAGAGAACAATGTAATACTACTCGTAGCTCGTAGACAAATGCCAACGTACCTTAAACTGTCATCGTATAATTTTGTCAATGTTAAATTGTATTTTTTAAACTTTAGGCTTTTGCCTCATTCGAACCAGTTTTAAATTACTAAATTACATTTCGGGGACACTAAGCTTAGGTTCTATAATATGGTAGTGATGTAGACAGCACAAATAAATTACATTTGACAATGATAAAATCAACAATTTGACAACATAAAATATGTTGACATTTCACTGGTTTTTCATTGCTACCTATTTTAATTTAAAAATGATGCAGTTTTTCTTAAATTATTTAAAATCGGCTTGTCCAAAATTGTTCAAATTTGTTATACCGTATTTAGCAGGGTTGGAAAAAATCATGATTTTTTAAAAAAAATCAAAAAAATTAGATTTTTTTAAATTTAAATCGGATTTTTTTTTATTTAAATCAGATTTTTTTGATTTTAATTCAAAAGAATATTTAAATCGGATTTTCAAATGACTAGGACTTATTTCCAATTAAAGTCCTATCCTAAATGGCTAAATTTTAATAACTCTGAGCGATACCGATAACATTAACAATTCGACGGTGCTACATCGGTCACCAATATATTCCGCAAAAAAGTCGCTCGCTTCAGATCAAAAGGATTTTTTTTCAAACGTCTCAAAAGTATTAATTTTTGTCATTTTAACGGCTATAGGCATAAACGTAAAGCACTCTTAAGTACATAAGTATGCTACTTAAGTACATACTTAAGTAAAGCCTATATAAGCACAAAAGTACAAAAATATATTATTAAACTGATATTAGGTGTTAAATTCAACGAGTGTACAAATCGTTTCTCGATTACTGGTTGTATTATTTGCAATGTTTAAAATTGATTAAAAACATATTTGTAATGTTTTAAAAAAATAGTGTTTTATTCGGAGTAAAAATGTACTTTTTGTGCCTCCTTGTAACGTCGGAATAGCTTTACGATGGTCCTTCAAATGTACAGCATCGCCAAAAAAAGTATAATTTCTACTCTTAATAAAAAATATACTATTGTTCGGGAATAGTCTTAAGTCGTGAATGAAATTAGTATTATCTAATGTCAAAGTGTAAATAAGTACTTACTGCAAATCAAAATGTCGGTAAGACAAAAGTAAAATTTGTCACTTCTAAATAAATTTTAAATTCCTCCGTTTAGTGGTCTTATGGATTCACACGAAATTACTTCAAAAATCGGTTCAATATTTAAATTGATGAATAGATATTTTTATATAGTTTTCTAAAATTTACAATTATTTTTCGATTTATTATCTGTTATAGAACTATTTTTTATAGTTTTCTAGGATAGATTTTTATAACTTTTACAGTTATTTTTTTATTTATTATAAAGTTTCAATAAAATTAATTTTTTGATTTAAATCACATGATTAAAATTAAAAAAATCACTTGATTTAATTCACGTTTTAAATCATGATTTAAATCATTTGATTTAAATCATACCAACCCTGGTATTTAGTATACGCAGATCTTTAAAAAACCTAAAATACTGTAAATTTTTAAGGCAATATTTGGAGAGTTCAAAATTTGCATGGGATTTCCTGTTTCCAACGACGATGCACCATCCCGTACCAATGCCTGTCTTTTATAAGACAGGCCATGTTTGTATATAGTCAGTAAATGTTCTACAGGGTGTCCGAAAATGAATGCAACAAAATTTGGTCATAGATTCTTGAAAAAAAAATAGGTGACCCGTATTTTTTATTTTTGGCGA